TACAGTTCTACCAGATACTAGGAATAAGGCAAATGTGAGTCGTTACTCCCTAACTGAGAGACCACTGACTCTAGATGTGGGTGTAATAAATGTTCTCCTGATGGAGATAAAAGTTTTGTCTCTGGAAAAATCTCTTTCTAGAAAAACATGATCTATTTGCCAGACCTCCTGAGCCAAAAGAGCTATCAAAATTAGATGCACTTCAACTCTCAACTTCCTGTACACGCAAAGCAAAAGAGAACACACAGGTGACACATACACTTGGCTTTGTCTGAATAAGGCAAGAACTTCCATCCATCAGTGAGCCAAGGTCCCTGCCCACTTTTGAACAATATTTCAGACATATGATGTTGGACTTGAAAGCTATGATGTCTATAGTCAGATTACCTCATCAGGCAAAGGAACTCTCCTCAACCTAGTGTTTTTACTACGATTTGTGTACATCTTTACCCTTGTGACTTGGATCATCCATCAAACAGTTTTCCTTGTCAGCCAGGTGTAGAGAAAACAGAAAGAATGTATCCAAGATGCACAATTCCCACAGACAAGCTGTCTCCTTACATGGGGTTTAGGCTTCAAATTATCATCTCTTGATGCTAACAGTCTGCCCATCTATCAAACAGTATCTAATCTTTAGTTTTTGATAAAGATTATGGAATAGGCTGCAGCAGGACAACTCTCAGAGCTCCCGTATGCCTTCAAATCCTCTGTGTAATCAGGATTCTGACCTGGGTAAGGCACCAAATTGGCTCTTCTTGCATGGCTTAATTATCTACTCCTGGTAATGGAGAAAGATCAGGTGTTCATGATGATGCCATTAGATCTATCAGTTGTCTTTGATATTATGAGATCACGGTCATACAGCTGAGGTCCTTGGTGGGAGTGAATGAGGCTGCTCTTCAGTGGTTTGGCTCTGTTTTTGCCTAGAGATTCCCGATGGAACTGATGAGCAACAGCTCTTCCTCCTTACCATACCAGAAGCATCTATTATTTCATCCTTATTACTCAGTGTACATAAGTCCAATAAAAGAGCTAGAGAGGAGACACAGGGGAGTTCTTGGTTTTGCTGTGTGGAAAAGAGAGTGATGGGAGTAACGTGTGCTGACTTGTGATACGTATGTTTCATGTGCTGTTGTTTTACCTAAGTATTTTTATATTGTGTTTTTAATGGAGGCAAAGAGTACCTATAGCTTTGAATAGGCATATCTTTAAGATTTAGTTAATTCCAAATACATAAATAAAGCAAAAAGACTCCCATGTCTTTTGGGGCATTTTGATTTTCATTGTCTTGGCTGTCTACAATGTCACTTTAAAAATATCTTACATTTATCAAGCCACCAAGATAGGAAATACCACTTTTTGTAGTGGCAAACTTGTTTTTCACACTTCAATTTTTTTAGACTGCCAATCTCTCAGTGCATTTGAGTGATGGTAAAGTAAAAATTACAACTGGCTGATTTTACCCCTCACTGCAATTGTAAAAAAAAAAAAAAAGATTTTTTTATATATATAAAATATAAACAGGACATTTGCAAATGCAATAGGTGAAATGCTCTAGGGAGTTCAAGAATAAAGAGTGCCCCGTCTATTCCTGCACTCCCAAATAAAGTTCTATACTACGTTATAACACATACACAATGTAATAAATGGCTGATAGAAAAATCTGCTATGCAGTTCACACTTGCTTCTCTCTCAATGGTTCAAATACATAAAACAATACTTTTACTACCATAAAAAGAGAGACCATTAATACTTTAGAGGTTCAGTATAAAATTACTTTCATTAGCATGCCAAGTGTATATTTTAGCTTACTAGAAAAGAAACTCCCTACAAACAGCCATTTATTTGACATTCCTTCATTGCAGAGGGGGTAACGATACAGGAATCAATTTCCCATGACCTTCTGGAGAGACTTTAGATGTACTGAAAAGGTACTACTACATTATCTCAAACCAGTGAAGCAGCTGGGCACAGTGTAGAAAAATATTACTGAGCTCAGTGGATTAGTATTACAGGTTGCCATCTGGGGATGTGCATTCAGGGTAGAGTCAGTATGCTGTTAAAAGAGAAAACATTGGCCTCGCTACATATTCCCACCTTTATTTTAAATGGACACTGTTAGTACAGTACAAAATCCTGCAGAACTTGAAATTTACAGAGACTCTTCTTGTGGTTTCTGTAGTTCATTATTATTATTATTATTATTATTACTGGTGATGCCAGCTTGGGGAAATAATATTTCCCTCTAATGAGTGTGCAGTATATAAACAGAGCTATGCATATGCACAATCCTGGATCATGCCACATATTCACAGCTTTGTTCATCTGCAAGGCTTGCCATAAGATTTCTTTTAATTAATTAGAAACAACATTCTAGGTAGTAATTAGATCATTAGTTTATGGCTAAACTCTGTTCTCAGACAAATGTGTGCAAATCCTAGTTACTTAAATTGAAAGGGCTCACAGGGTGTTACATTAAAATCTGGCCACTTTGCAAGTTTTTAGGAATTCAGTATCGGGGGCCTAAACTATTTGACATCTCTTTTAAACTGAGGCAAAGGTAATTCTACAGAAACCTGATCCAGAGTCTCTCTCTCTCTCTCTCTCTCTCTCTCTCGCTCTCGCTCTCGCTCTGCCCTTCCCCCTCTGTGGAGGCTTTAATTACTTTTTTCCATCACAAGGACTCTTGAGTATAAATTTAGACTCTCAGCCCTTATGCATTACAACCTGATTTCTGCCTAAGGAAAAGAGAATTCCATCACCAAATAGATTAAATTTTGCAGCAGTGATTACGTGTTACAGGCCTCAATTCTGCATCAGCAAAAGCCACGGAACAGCATCAAATTCAAGTAGTTCAGACATTCTACAGTTCCAGGGTAATATAATCATTCTCCTGCCATGCTATTTACTTCATTCTTTCAATGCATTTATTTGTGTTCCACAAAGTGAACTGTAGGTCATGAAGAAACATTGACAAGAATAGTAAAACTGGAAGGTCTCATCTGGTACAGCACAAAAGCAGTTAAAGGAATATTAACATCTCTCTTTCCAATGAAAGGGAAAAACAGGGGTTTACAACATCCAACTTCTTCTTTATTTTTATGCTAAGTTCTAGTCACTTCCCAAGCAAAAACATACCATAATATATATTATTGTTTAGCCTCATTAGGGAAAATAACATCAAGCTTCAATTCTCTCTGATCTTCCAAAGCAGTCAGCCTGTATCCAAATGGATGCATTTATTTTGGCATCGTGAAGGTTCTCTCCTCTAGACATGAAATTGCTACAGCATTTTTAGGTGGCCTCAATACATTATTATATGGTTAATGAGAAAGAAGGCCAGTTAGGAAAAGATTTCTTGGACCCCTCCACACCTCCAAGGTGATGACAACCATTGCTTTAAGTACTTGCCACTAACAACCATGTCAGGATGTCAGTGACAGCATGTTACTGGTAGTTACTTAAAGTGAAGGATGTTATCTTTTTGGGCTTTATGATTCATCCTTTAGGAGCACTTCTCAGAGCACTAAGTCGGAGTGATGAAGATCATGTAGTAATTGGGTTAGGTGAAGAGTGAAACATGTCATCTTGGGAATGTTGGGTCAGAGGGATCCTGTGATAAGAAACTATCATGGAAATAAAGGATTAAGGCTTCCCATATTAATTATCTCACCATGAGGGCACTCAATAACAAGTAAACATTCTTCTGACGAGCACATCCCAAAACAACATGGGAATCTGCAATATGAAAATCGATTACATTATAAATCTTTGAATCTTTACGGCATGAAGGTCTTCAGTGGGAAAGCTCTGTGAATGAGATGTCAGTCCACCTAAAATTATTGCACTTTGATCCAATGTTAGAATGGCATCACTTCAGTACCATAGACTGTGGTACCTCTGCACACATGGACTAACTTCCCCCTATAGGCTACAGTTCAGGAACACAATCCTGCTCAAGAAAGCACAGAAGAGTTTAACTCTAAGCACATGCTTAAGTGCTTCCCTGAATAGGGATGGACTTAAGCACTTACATAAGGGCTTTTCTGAACTGGGGCTTTATCTGCATGATTAATGTGTAAATATATATATATATACTAAATTCTCTTCCAAAAAGGAAAAGGAAATATTTTGGTAGATAGTGCACTTATCTGAACAGTTAACCCAACAGAACTGTGATGGGGTATACAAACCCTACACTGGGACGGAAGGGGTTAAAGGACAGTACTGGATCCAGATAGCTCCACCCCTCCAACCCTGGGGAGGATGCTCCAACCGGAGACAGGGTTGAAAAGGGAGCAACACGGTTCAGAAGGCTGGAGAGGAGTACAGACCTATCCGGAAGGCTCTTGCCAACTGGGGCCAGAGACGCCTCCCTGAAATACCAGGACTGTAAGCTGAGCCTGGCTGGGGCTGACTGACTGGTTTCCTTTTCCTCCTCTCCCCGCCCCCATCTGGGACCAGAAGCAAAGAGAAGCCATGGTAGGAAGTGAGCCAGGGATGGTAACTCAGTGGGAACCCCATGCCCCAGAGGTCTAACACTGCCAACTTTCCTAGGGACCAGGATCAGAGCCTGGTGGAGTGGGCGGGCCTGGGATCCCCTACCACTGCCCCACGACTGAGTGCATGCTAACCACTAGGCTTCGCAGCCCATCGAGGACCCCATTACAAGGACAATGTATATTACTTTTGGCATCATCAGTTACACAATGTCAGAGCATATCACAAGTATAGACAACCATAATTTCCCTTATTACCGGAACAGTAACAAGTAGAGTATTACGTGAAAACAGCATTTTTAATTTTGAATCTACATTGACATAAAACCCACCTGTATTAGAACTGCATTCCCGTGACCTAGAGCCAAAATTATATTAGCAAGGAAAAAAACCACACATGCATAGTCCATATAGATAGTAGGGATATTTTAAAATGAAAGTACTGTGTACTGCATAATTTAAAAATGAAGATCAATGAATAAGAACTTTAATACCACCTACCCTCATCATCATCCTTTAGGTTCTCAGATTTCTTTGATTTGCACTTCAAGGGAGATGGTGACTGGCCTTTTTGTTCCAATCCCTCTGCAAGCACAAAATATATTATTTTTGAGTAATATTATTTTATTAAATATTAATAGGCAGGCTATTTTAGCAATTATTTTATCTCAGCATTCCTTTCAACGCAGAATGCCTACACTTGCATTTTGAAGATTCAGCATTGCCTCATGTGTTGTATTTGGGGCCATAATAGGTATGTTTGGGTTCAAAGGGAACTTTAGCTGACGTTGATAGCTCAACCTTGAATAAAGCTCATATTTATTTAAATGATTCCTGCCTTCGCACTCTCCCGCTCTTCAGATTTATAACATTTAATAATATTTTAATCTGTAGTTGTTTCTAAGCAACATGCATCATATGGCTATGGACTAGTGGAGGAATATGTTCAAGAAGACTGATTTCTGTTAGCAGCCCAGTTTTGCATTCATTGCCAAAATCCACTAACAAAGGAATATTGACCTAAATATTGGCAGTATGGATGTGAGGCAGAGGTAAAAGCTTGATATCAAGTTTGAAGTTAATTGAGAGAGGGTTCCTTCAAATAAGATTGTTCAGAGTTGAAGAAGTCTTCCAATTTTTTTCTTCCCACTTCCATAATACAACAGCAAGAAGGGAAGAGATTAAATGTGGTTTGCTGGACTCACTTATAGTAGTTGAGAGCTAGCGTGCAGAGGACTTAAAATTAGTTGATTAAGCTTCAAAAATTATGAAGACTTGATATAACAACAGCTTAGGGTATGTCTAGCACTGGAATAAAAGACACGTGGCACGGCTGTGACTGGCCTGGGTCAGCTGTCTTGGGCTTGGAGAACTTGGGCTCGCAGGGCTGTAAAATTGGTGTGTAGATGATCACGCTCCAGCTGAATCCCGAATGTCTACACAGCAATGTTATAGCCCTACAAGCCTGAACCCTGCAAGCCAGAATCAGCTGAGCTGGGCCATTCACACGTGTTTAACTGCTGTGTAGACGTATCCAGAATGGCTTGTCATGTCTGCTGACCTTAATATAGTGCACCAAGTGACTGCTGGAGACCGGGTCAGACTTTTAAGAGTACTCGGCACCCATAAATGGTGCTGGACTGTCTTAAGAGTTCAGCTCCCATTTATGCACCTAAATGAAATGATTAGATTTTCAAAAAGGGCTCAGCGCTCAGCAGCTCATGTTGTTCTCCAGAGGTGCTGAGCCCTTTTGGAAATCTGGCCATTTCATTTAGGTGCCTAATGGGAGCTGTTGAGTGCTGATTTGTATTGAAAATCTGGCCCCTACGTTGTTGCTTTTTTTTAAAAAAAAGGAAGTTTTGAGTTCTTTTCCTTGCAGAGATAGACACAGAAGTGTAAACTGATTGTTAGTGTGGCTTGTCAATAGAAAAAAGGAGACTTTTTAGAAACTAGTAATACACATGCACTCTCAGCCTAATTTCACCTTACCAGTAGTGTAGCTCTATGTGAATAAATGCATCAAGCCTCTCCATCTCACTGTACTAACTTATAGGATGGGGGTCCTATCTTTGGAAGCAGTGACTCTGAAAAAGATTTGAGGGACATGGTGGATAATCAGCTGAACATGAGCTCCCAGGGAAGTGCTGTGGCCAAAAGGGCTGATGAGATCCTGGGATGCATAAACAAGGGAACCTTGAGTAGGAGTAGAGAGGTTATTTTCCCTCTATATTTGGCACTGGTGCAACCACTGCTGGAATATTGTGTCCAGTTCTGGTGCCCACAATTTAAGGATGTTGATAAATTGGAGAGAGTTCAGACTCAATCTATTTAGCCACATGCAGCATGGGAGTAAGAGAACAAACCTCCAAACTGCAAGCAGCCAGGTTGTGGGGGAAAGCTTGCACTTCTCTACCCATTAGTCAGGATTTGTGATTTGTTACCCCTGAGTAGTAGCCAGGATTTGGCTGGGTGTTTACAGTCCCACTTGGCCCTCACCAAGCCCTTGGCCTCACCAAGAAGCCAGGGGAAGGGGAGAAATCTCTCCACCTGCTTAGCTGGGACATTGTTCTTTCTGCAGCATACCATACTTAAATGTAGCAATAAGACTCACCAAATTCTGAGTCAGACTGTAAGTTACAGGCAGTAGAAGCCCACAGTACTTGGAAACATTATAAAATGAAGACCTGTATTAAATACAATTTTAGGGAATTAACACTAATAGTTAATTCAACAAAACCTCAAATTGGTGATTGTTTCTATATCTTCACATTATAGGGGACTCTTGTATTCATCAATTTACTGAAATATGAAAACACCCCCAGATTTGCTTGGTCTCAGGAACTGGACCTTTCCTTTCTAAAGGTTAACCACTTGACAGAAGACTGTGTTACATGCCAACAGATGTGATCAACTACATTGGAAATTTTAATACTAGATTTTGAAAAGAAGATATGAAATTAAGATCCGTGGAGCGCTAAAATCAACTTCTCTCTTCCCTGGCTGGTGGACATGCAGACTCAACCACAGGGAATAAATATCAGGGATTAAAACAACTCAGCTATTCAACACAGAGTCAGTCAGAAGCAATGGTCATGTTCAACACATGTTGTTAGTACGAAGGATAGAAGCTGTCAGACTTTAAAGATTGATTGCTGCCCCCTCTGCCATTCTTTAAAAGAAATTGAGTATTTATAATTAACTATATTGATGCAGGGCCTGTCTGGCTCTAATGCCCCCATATGATAGCTGCTCTTTTCCCTTTTTGGCTTGGCAATGCTTCACTCTAGGAGACCAAATCAATATGAATATTTCAAACACCAGTCTCCCCTCTGAAGATGAAGTTATCATCTAATCGATCTGTGAGGCTTCCTCTAGTCTCAAAAATCAAATGCCAATCAAGTTTTAGTGTTAAGTATCCATGTATAACATGGCTTGGTCTTCCTAGAGTCTCTGAATACATCAGAAAATATATCTAATGTCTTAATTGACTGCACTAAGATGGGGGTGGGGGGATGACGGTGCTTGCATTGGGAGAAGTTAGAACAGTTACTATTGCCAATGGAACAATGTTTCTCCATTACTGAAAGAATCTTAAAATGCTCACAAAAAGAATGTGGAGGAACCATCTCAGGAGAATGCGATTTCAAACACAATTTCATTGCTTTCTAGCAGACGAGTAGATTTTCCCTCACTCCAAAGACAGAAAGGGATTTTTGTAAGCTTCAAAAATGTGTATTTGTGTATGGCCAAGAAATAAATCTTAACCCTTTCAGTTCTGCAGAGACATACATGTATCATGAACAGAGCTGGCAAGAATGGCAAAAAACAGTGCTTACAACCATTTATTCGAGTTTTGAATGGCTGTTCAATTTAACCACTTTTGTACCCTTTATTATTTGTGAGCATTCATGCAAAATGGTATTTACTCACAATATATTTGGGGAATGGCTATTCTCCATGGGTCAAACCCACAAGGCAAATGTGCCACGTAAAGGAGGCCATTCCAAACTCCCAAAACATTCATAAATCCTGCTCAGTGACAAGTGCCTGACATTTTCCTCTCAGTCAGAGAAAAAGCTCTCCTCTAAGATGAAGTGCCCTGACATACGCACACGTATATATCAGAATGTACAATCTGGTAGTTTATGTTCATGTGGGCTAGTTTACAGAAAGGTTTCAAAGCGAGTGTGTGTGGGGAATATTGGGTCTACCATCTTGGGTAGGGAAGGTTTCTGATGCTGGGTGGGACTAGGCAGGTTGCACCCTTGGTGGAGAGATGGGATAATTGGTAGGACACTTACTTTGGGTATGTAACAGAAGGGTTGACAGGAAACATGGCAGGCAAGGGGCTTATCACTGGGATAAGATCCAATTGCTTTGGTAGCTAGAGCAGGGGTGTGGTTAGGTTGGGTAGATTTTCACAGCTGAAGGAGAGCAGGACACTTATAATTAGTGACAGGTCTAAAGAGGTTTTGAAAATTGAACAAAGGGGGAGGCTTGTTTGTGTGTTTTTGATCCCTCCCTAATATTAAGGAAATTAACTTTGGTTATAAGAAAAGGAGTACTTGTGGCACCTTAGAGACTAACCAATTTATCTGAGCATGAGCTTTCGTGAACTACAGCTCACTTCATCGGATGCATACCGTGGAACAAACCCTACAGTGTTGGAATATGTATTTACAAAACCATGCTTCCCATAATAGCACATGGCTGCACAATTTGCATATGCCATCATTGAGCATAACTGTGGTAGCATAAGAGGTATTTTTGCCTTCCTATAGGTCTGAAAACATAAGTGTACAAAAACCAGGTAATCCAAAAGTGAAGATTTACAATAATGTTTCATTAATGTGGTATAAAATGACCAGCCTCATGGCACTGCAGTATTAAATCATGTAAGTTAAAGATGGACAAAATCTATCTGATCATTTAGTCTTTCCCTCTGCAAGTGCAAGATATAATTCTCAGATAAAGGACATATCAGATACTGAACTACAAAAATCTGTAGCTGCCCTTTTGACTCAGCCATTCTAACAGCAGACTGTATGAAATATGATAACATCAGAGCACTTTGAGTTGAACATAACAGTATGCTAACAGCTATTACAAGAGGCTGCATCCTGAAAAATAAACTGATCATCTAAAAAATACTAATTAAATGCCATTAGAGGACTGGTTTTGAGTGTTTCCTTTAAGAATAGGTTATTTTTAAAATAAAAATATTGTTTCCTAAGGTACTGGAGATACTCTTGTCCAGTGTCATAACTCACAGTAATGCTCATCAGTGCCAGTTACGCTTAATATAGTGTTATCAGCAGGTATCACTGGAGATCATCTGAGACACATGCAATCAAAACATCCCCCTGTTTACTTAAAAAAAAATTATGAAGAACAGAGTTTCTAAATGTAATAAGATATGCACACTCCTGAGTGGTGGAGACATAAGACAGAGAATACACTCTCAGCATGTTCATCTCCCCATAAACTACACATTTGGCCATCTGCTATTCCTTACTTATGGCTGAGTCCAGCAGCTGCTCTAAAGGCCTGATCTAGTGCCCATTGAAGTCAGTGAACATATTCCCACCGACTTCAGCGGACACTAGATCAGGCCCTAAGTGAGGATCTGAATTTTTTCTACCAGCTTTAGCAACTGTGTTTAATTAGAACTGAGTCTCCAGATCGAAAGAGCCCACATGAGATCGCCTGCTATTGCACACTCCAGGAATCCCAGAAGTTTTTAAGGCTGAAACATTAGAGAAACAACCTAAAGATGAGCTTTTGAGTACAGATTATATCTGAATGGCTCAGCAGTTCGGGATCATCAATATTGGCTTCAGCTACTGATTCTGTCTGCAGGAGTCATGACCTCATGAAGTCAAGTGGAATGAAAAATGATTATTCATTAACAACTGAAAGTGGCAAATAGCAGTTGCAACCTTATTTAAACACAGATTAATCAACTTTCCCCACAAAGCATTTAAGAGCAGACACTCTTCAGCCTGGTGACTAAATTACCATAAACAGAGCTCTCCCCTTAACACAGAAGTCATCTGTTTATGACATTTATGCAAATGTCCCTTACTAATATTAAGTTCTTACATTAATGGGTCAAAATGGCATCGCTCTCTACTGCTAAAGGATATATGAAGGATACTAAACTTTGGCCACACAAGTATTAATAGCGCATCCAACATCTAATTCTCAAAATATAACTCAGTGATGGGGCATGAAGCAACATAAGGTACTGAATATGTGGTACCCCATCGCCACCCTGTGCTTGAAATCCACACAGGAGCAGATATGCCGCAAAATGTACCACTCAAATGACCTAAATCTGTGGTGATTTGCAGTGTAACCCATGTGGTAACTTCATTTAATTTAATGGAGTTACAAAGGAAGCAAGACAAAAGAACTGATACTAAGTCTTATTCTTGCTATAAAGTGGAAATTTTATTTTTAATTTCTACTATTAAATATTTTAAAAATTCAATTTAATTTATATATGAAAGAATCCAAAAAAATTCTAAACAATATAGCTAATAAAAATACATATGTATTGGTTCCAATAAAAAGTGAAATTGGAGATATCACAGTTTTTTGGAAAGGTCAGAATAGAAAATAATCACGGTATCAAAAATACAACAGTACGATACCTGTCAGCAAGTGCTGAATTTTTAGTGGCCACTGTGTGCTTTTGCATGTGTATATTTTGTACATCAAACACAATACCATACATATTAGTATTTATAAAAGCTCCATCCAATGCAGTAGGCAGAGAACAATAATTATTCATACATGTAGTAAACTCAGAAGGCCAAAATACCATAAATGTCCTGCCAACTCAGAAGTATCACACACACACAGACACACACACACAGAGTAGTCAATGACTACACACACACGCACGAACACAGAGAATCAGTGACTGCAAATGTGCAAATGCAAGTCCCCAAGGGTTGCTCTGCATTCACACCTTAGTAAAATAACTAAACTGTGGAACCATAATTAGTTCCCATTTGTGTTCAAACTAGTTGTTAATAAGAAACATAATTACAAACCAGTGGGCTACAATGGATGATGACTATAGTACCTAGAAAGAAGGTTCACCATGGTCATTTGATTAATTTTAAGATGTTTCTCAAACTGTTTTATAATGTGCAGAAGTATGTTTTTGACAAACATTTTCACACACCTGTATCCTCACTTATCTCACTCTCCTCTTCATTATCATCATCTGTCAAAAAATGAAATAAAATGATTATGAAAAAAAGAGAAGCATTTGAAAATAATGTTGCATTCTTCAAATAGCTTTTATTTTCATTTGTTTCCTGCTGTCCAAAGTTTTACGTTTAGATTTAGAAAAAATACTAGTATGGTAGATTACTGATATCTAGATATCAAAATTCAGGGAGGAATAATTCTGCCTTGACTTACACACAGTGAAACCACATTGTAATCTATTTCATTGTTTTTCATTTCTAAGGGTGAAATTAATCTAATTTTACTTGTCAAGCTCAGGATTCTTTGTTTTTCTTGAAACAGCTGGTAACATTAACACTAAAATTGGTTGGAAGTTTTGTTTTTTGGAGGAAAATATATTTGAGGGTGAAAAAAAATGTTTGCCTAAATTTTCCAGAGAAAATGTAGACTTTAAATCTCAAAACTGAACGTTTTGGGGATTCAGCCAAAAAGTGTTTTATTTTCAGCTGAAAACTTTTCAATTTGGGGTGTTTCAATTTAAACCTTAAAATTCCCAAGATGGCACCCATGGTTACTGAAAGGTCTCAGCAAAATGCTTAGAAAACACCCAGTAAAGCAAGAGTTACTTAGCCACTAATTTCCCAATAACATGTTCTTTCCCATGAGAGCATTTGCAGTAAAATCAATGTGAGAATCATTGAATCTGGAAGGGAACTCAAGGGGTCATCTAGTCCATCCCCATTTGCTGAGAGGGGATTAAGCACACCTAGATCATCCCTGATAATGTTTCTTTAACCTATTCTTAAACACTTTCAATGAAAGAGATTCCACAACCTCCCTAGGCTACCTGAATAGATCAAATTAATCTCAGCCGTCACAGTAAATCAGCATGATGCAATTATATCTTAAAATACCTATCACTAGCAGAGCTTCTGTGGAAATTCTTACTTATAGTACAGTAAGTGGCTTGGAATAGGAAATTCCCGAAGCACTAGAATATAGTGTAAACTGGTAATATTGGACACACAGGCAAGGAATATGACCTTATTAAAAAGTAGTGAAGTCTTAATGCAATACAAATATGAAATGGAGAATACTGCTTTTGTGAACTAACGGGGAATCTTTCTAAGGAAAGGATAGGGTTATTGCTCCTATGGAGCATTTTATGCATGTCCCAGAATCTCATATATCTTAACATCTAAAATCTCAGCAAACTAGGTATAGTGTGGACATTATTGTATATTCTGTACAGCATGGTTTTAACTGACCAAATCAAAAAGTTTAAATATATACATAGAGACAGGCTTAAATCTAAACCCTGGAGCCAACCCCCCACTGAACTTTGGAGAAGTCCAGGAGTAAAATTTTCAAAAGCACCCAGGTGATTTAGGAACCTAGTTTACATTTTCAAAGGTGACTTGGGCACTTCAAAGCCTACGTCTCACTGAAAGTCAACAAGGTCCCTAAGTGCCTAAGTCACTTTTGAAAATGGGACTTGGACTCCTAAGTCACTTTTGGAAATTTCACCCCAGCTCCATATCTGACTGACATTTTTGACTCAGACCCCTCTTCTCTGGTAACGCCACAACTGGTCCAGAAAATTATAACACATGAAGCATATGAAGGAAGGTGCTTACATTTGAGGCAACACAGCAATTTCTTTGACCTCAACTTGGCAAAGATTGCTGAAGTGACAAACACCCTCCTTATTCACTAGACATCCATTACAAGAATTATCATCTTATACTGGGATAAGCTCCTGCCACGTTTTAAGAACCCGTTTTCAAAACACAGCTCATTTCTCATCCGGATGAACTATGCCAAGGTCAGTTCCTGAGTGCATTAATTACTGAGAAGCAGAAACAAGGCAAGAACTCCTTGACTGAAGTCCAGTCCAAGTTGTATAATTCGAAACCCAGATCCTTGTAAATTACATAGTTTATACAAAAAGAAAAGGAGTACTTGTGGCACCTTAGAGACTAACCAATTTATTTGAGCATGAGCTTTCGTGAGCAACAGCTCACTTCATCGGATGCATACCATGGAAACTGCAGCAGACTTTATATACACACAGAGAATATGAAACAATACCTCCTCCCACCCCACTGTCCTGCTGGTAATAGCTTATCTAAAGTGATCATCAGGTTGGGCCATTTCCAGCACAAATCCAGGTTTTCTCACCCTCCACCCCCCCACACAAATTCACTCTCCTGCTGGTGATAGCCCATCCAAAGTGACAACTCTTTACACAATGTGCATGATAATCAAGTTGGGCCATTTCCTGCACAAATCCAGGTTCTCTCACCCCCTCACCCCCCTCCCAAAAACCACACACACAAACTCACTATCCTGCTGGTAATAGCTCATCCAAAGTGACCACTCTCCCTACAATGTGCATGATAATCAAGGTGGGCCATTTCCAGCACAAATCCAGATTTTCTCACCCCCCCCCCCCACCCCCATACACACACAAACTCACTCTCCTGCTGGTAATAGCTCATCCAAACTGACCACTCTCCAAGTTTAAATCCAAGTTAAACCAGAACATCGGGGGGGGGGGTAGGAAAAAACAAGGGGAAATAGGCTACCTTGCATAATGACTTAGCCACTCCCGGTCTCTATTTAAGCCTAAATTAATAGTATCCAATTTGCAAATGAATTCCAATTCAGCAGTTTCTCGCTGGAGTCTGGATTTGAAGTTTTTTTGTTTTAAGATAGCGACCTTCATGTCTGTGATTGCGTGACCAGAGAGATTGAAGTGTTCTCCGACTGGTTTATGAATGTTATAATTCTTGACATCTGATTTGTGTCCTTTATTCTTTTACGTAGAGACTGTCCAGTTTGACCAATGTAAATGGCAGAGGGGCATTGCTGGCACATGATGGCATATATCACATTGGTGGATGTGCAGGTGAACGAGCCTCTGATAGTGTGGCTGATGTTATTAGGCACTGTGATGGTGTCCCCTGAATAGATATGTGGGCACAATTGGCAACGGGCTTTGTTGCAAGGATAAGTTCCTGGGTTAGTGGTTCTGTTGTGTGGTATGTGGTTGTTGGTGAGTATTTGCTTCAGGTTGCGGGGCTGTCTGTAGGCAAGGACTGGCCTGTCTCCCAAGATTTGTGAGAGTGTTGGGTCATCCTTTAGGATAGGTTGTAGATCCTTAATAATGCGTTGGAGGGGTTTTAGTTGGGGGCTGAAGGTGACGGCTAGTGGCGTTCTGTTATTTTCTTTGTTAGGCCTGTCCTGTAGTAGGTAACTTCTGGGAACTCTTCTGGCTCTATCAATCTGTTTCTTTACTTCCGCAGGTGGGTATTGTAGTTGTAAGAAAGCTTGACAGAGATCTTGTAGGTGTTTGTCTCTGTCTGAGGGGTTGGAGCAAATGCGGTTGTATCGCAGAGCTTGGCTGTAGACGATGGATCGTGTGGTGTGGTCAGGGTGAAAGCTGGAGGCATGCAGGTAGGAATAGCGGTCAGTAGGTTTCCGGTATAGGGTGGTGTTTATGTGACCATTGTTTATTAGCACTGTAGTGTCCAGGAAGTGGATCTCTTGTGTGGTTTATACAGTAGCTTCTTTTTCCTTTTGACAAAACCATGTTTTCATCCCATCTAGTCTATGGACAGAGTGTTATCCAAAGGTCCAGGTCTACTTTAACATATTGTTCATTGTTTGTGTCAACCTTAAAGTAAAGTTTAACAAAACCATTAGGACCCAGGAGTAGAACTTTGATGACGGTAAACATTTCCTTATAGAGATACTGTCACTATTAGGTAAATCCCCAACTTACTTACTCTCTAAAAAAAACCTAAGAACCACTCCCCCCACAAACCATTTAAAATTCCACTGAACCTGTAACCTCTTTTCAAAAAGGCCTTGACCAACTCACTGCAGCAGCAGAAGTGCAGGTGATCCTGTGTGTACATCCAGCTACTTATGTGTCCGCTGGAGGCAGAAGAGTTCTCTGCTGCATAGCTTCACCATTAAAGCCCTGCAACAGGGAGCTCTCAGAACTCATTCCCTCAAGTCCTGCTGGAGAAAGGAGAACGGACCTTGCAGCCTGGGGCAGGAGGATCAACGACCGTGACCCCCACATAAAACCGTCCTTGTGGCAGGTGTGGCCATTGAGATGCGACCCCGATGAAGGACACCCTGGAGTCTGCAGCAGACTCATGCAGCAAGGAAGACCTTTACTCCAGCATGTCCCCTGGGTTAGAGAATGAAGTTTCCAGATTACTGTTAGTCTAAAGTATAGAAAGTATATAAATAAGGCATAAGGTGCATGACTCACATGAATAGCAGTGTAAGAACAAGTTAAGTGTAAACAGTGCAAGAACAGTTAAAGTTCAGATTATAACCTATGATTGAAATATGCCCCAACTATTCATATTATTTGGGATAATTACATCTATAAAGATCTGAAAGCAGGGGGCTGGGTGCAGGTTGTTCAGAACATCCCTTTGTAAAATCCCTCATTAATTCATATATCATGCAATGGTTGTCAGGCTTTCTTTTCATAATCTCATTTGCTGTCTGCAGAGCTCTGTAGAACAGAATGATTACACTACTTTTTGTACTATTGAGATTGGAGAAGGAGCGTCTCATATCCCATGATCCCTCCCCCCCCCCCCGCCTCTCTCAGGTTCTCTCTGGCCCTGTCTCATCAACACATTCCACACAGGCAAAGAGCTGCCAAATCGTGAAAACTATCAAACTGCTAGATTTGACCTGGCAACAGGCTCTAAATACCATTACTAATCCAAAAAGCCATCAAACCTCCACCCACTCCTTGCTCTTCCCTCTTTTTGTATTGTTAAGCAAATACATTATTTTCTGTTTAACTATATAAGCACGTAATCAGAGCTCATAAACGACTGCAGCAGGCAGCTCTCTGTTCCAATCTGCATTCCTGTGTCCCCACTGACATAGCCCCATACACTGTGGATTCTCACTTTCACCCACTTCTTCAACACTCCTTTCCGATTTCTTTTTGCCTTTCTCCGGTTTCCTTGTTACCTCTCTCATCTTCTTTCACTC